CTAGAATGAAGTAATCTAGGGACTCAACTCCTTAGGCATGAGACTCCCCTAGAATCACCCTTTCAGGGGTAGAGGCTGAGTTCACAAGACTATAACAAAACCAGTGGTTTTAGCTCAGTTATCATGACTCCTACTCACAGTTTAATAATTACAAGCACACTGATCCCAGACCATATATAGGCATTCTAACATAAGGTAGACTGAAAAGAACTTTAGTATAAACATGAGATACTTACTCCACATGGGTTCTGATTGGTGCTGCTGGGCTATGAGAAGATGCCTGGCTCACACCACAATGAAAATGAGCACCACCACAGCCTGCTGGCTAGATCAGCTGATGTTTGTACCAGGAAGTGTACAACCTCTTATAGGCTGTGGGCTGACAAATGGTTGCATATTGGCTATTTCAAGTAACACTGCTATAGTTGCTGATATTTTAATAAAACGTAGAAACAGCAGAACATTCATTCAAAAATGATGTATTGAGCCACAGGGCATGTACTGATACTGGGCAGTAGCAGGGAAGAGGTAAGAAAATGACTAAGACAAGGTATCTACCTTTCTTTAGCACTACTAAATAAAGCACTACTACTATCACTGACGTCATCCTTATCAACCTTTCAGACTAGCATAATACCACATTCACGGTACCACATTTAGGGGATCTGACAATTGCCACAGTCCTTTTCTGGATATGTCAGCCTTTTGTAGAATAATGGGCATTTGAATGGTCTTTTTCCTAAGACATGAGGTGCATATGAAGTTGCATGTGTGAGATACCTCATTTGGTTAATGATCTCTTTCTTCTCTTTTCCTTTCTGGCAGAATCATTGATCAGAAGCAGAATGATAACAATAGAGCTCTCTGTGTAAAACCAAGCTTCAGCTTTTTAACTGCTTTGGAAAAATGACAATCTGATAATGAGCAGACAGACAGATGTGCGAGTTTTAGGCACCAGAGAATGTACAGAGTCCAAAAATGATTCCAATGTCTATTAAGATAGAGAGAAGTTTATAAAACTTGGAAAGTTCAAGAAAGCAGGGCAGATGGGAAGATGGACTCTCTGGACATGTCTCATTTGTCAAAAGCCCAATTAAAATAAGAGACCCAGGTGTAATCTGATCACTAAAGAATACAGATGGACAGTACTACTGTGTGATTGACAGGTCACTTTTATTAATGTACCCCAAGTTTGCACTAGCCATCTTGGCAGTCACATAAAGAACCTGCTGTCAACTAAAATTCCTAGGTCAATTTCCCATGAACTGTTGTTAAATCAAGTTTCCCTTATCCTGAACTTGAATAATTTTTTGCCCTCTAAATAATAGACTTCATTAAATTTCATCTTCTAATTTCCAACCACTGTTCCAGGTACTTATGCTGTTTCCATGCTTTAGTCCTCTCACCTGTCCCTTCCCTCCCTCTCTGTCCTCCTTTTTCCTCTCATCTCTCTTCCCCATCCATCCCTCCCTCACCTTTCTTTATGTATCAAATGTATTAACAATCCCTCCTCCAGAAATCTTATCACTGAATCACTGATATCTTTCAGATTATTTGATGCAATGCTAAATGTGTCCAAGTTCATGAAACAGCCAACCTGGAAGTAGAGACTGCATTATCTCATATCTGGGTAACTACAACTACCACTTCAGTGGTCTCCCTACCTGGAATCATTTCTACTTCATATCGATCCTCCAAACTTCTCTGACATCTTTCTAAAATACATAACTAATCACCCTTCTTTTAAATTCTTCTAGTAACTCCCATCATCCACAGGGATAAGGTAATTGCTTGTCATAGGCACTCTGGGATGGGTTGCCACATGGCTCTCCCACCTCATCCTGCCCCTCCCGAGGTCTGCATTGAATGGCTGTGCCTTCATGCCTAGACCAGGCTCCTGTATTTGTCTGACAGTTCACTACATCTTTAAGAATGCAGTTCAACTATGACCACTTCTCCAAGGGGGAAGAATTAACGCACTATCTTCTATCTTCGGATTTCTGTGACATGTGCCAACCTCAGGTTCTAGAAATTCTCCTCCCCCGCCCATTGTGTTGTAGTTATTTCCCCCAAATTTTTGGTTTGTTTTGAATGATATACCCATCTAGTAGCACAATGTCTGGCACACAGAAGGCTCAAGGTAGTGTTCTTGAATGATTAAACTACTTTAGAACTGAAATTGACCCATAAAATACTGATGAAGTAGGGATGGGTAGACAGATGCCTACTGAGTTTATATCCTCTTAGATTACAAGATTTCATTCTGTTTGTGAGGATGGGGCTTTTAAATACCTTCTGTTTGTGAGGATGAGGCTTTTAAATACCTTATGTAAATTCACATATATTGTTTCTATAATACCTCCGATCTTCCTAAAATTTCTAAACTTCAAAGGGAAAAAAGGCAGCAAACTCTCTCTTTCACAATGATGGAAAATGGAAGCTACACAAATAGCAAGAGTAAAGTAAAATGGAAAGAACTCTGATGGATTTAGGGAACTTGAGTCAGTGAATGGTGAATGGATAATGAACTCACTTTTGTCAAAGTAGTTACAGTCTTAATCCAGTTACTTAAATTCTTCAATCTTTAGGTGTTTTTTTTTTTTTTTCTCATGGATAAAAATATTTTTGAAGTAAATAATCTCCAAGTTTCCTTCTGGTCCTAAGAATTCAAAGTTATTTAACACAGAGAATCTGGTTTGTGGGGTCTTAGGTAGAGACCATGGTGAGGAGTTTCCTCTGCTGGGAAAGGATTATAGGGCCACTAGGGATGAGTGCACCATGAGATGGAGACCTTGGGTGTAACAGAACTTTTTATGATATGGCAACTGGCTGGCAGAGAATTACATTGCCAGGAAATAAGTGCTTACCCTTTTAATAGAGGACAGGAATTACCCTTGGTTTCTATTCCTGAATATAACAATAACAATATGTTTTAACTCCTCATAACCCTTAAGTGCCAACAGACTACAAGTGCTTCCTGCTACCAAAGTAAAGTGAAATCCAGCACAGGAAATCAGTTTTACCCTGTGGGTGTCATCTCATTATTTTTATTTTATTGGCTTAAAGTTGCTTATTTGGGAAAACTGTTAATAACTGTTTTGCCTATGTGCAAAGAAGTATGAATGGGCAAAGGACATGCACAGAAGCAACAATGCATTAACAGTCTCGCATGCATTTGGATTTTTATAACAGCAAATATTTTGGGTGACCTTCATATTAAATTCAATGGACAGAAACTGATATTTGACAGTAAGAACAGAATGAAAAAAAATGGTGGGGTCAGGGAGGATTAGTTAACCACAAACTAAGAGGCAAAAGCTTGTAGGGAGGGCAGATGATTGGCATTTCAGGGACTGAAACATTAGAACAATTCTATTCCAAATGCTAGAATGAATCTGTGAGGGGTACCTAGAAGTATCTATTTTTAGCGTGTGGATTCTCAGAGATCTTTGTTTTTGACAACACTCTGCCTTGACTGGGAGCATGTGCTAGAGAGCCTGTCTATCACGGAGACAGGAGCTGAGACAGGAATGCTGAGAGTCCAGCAGAGTCAGCATCACTCCTTATAGATATTTCTATCAGTGTTAACATTTAATTCAAACCATGAGAGGTTGAAGCTCTAGAGACATTTTTAGGACTCATCCTGTCATTAGGAGGTGAGAAATGCAATCAGAAAAAAAAAAACAACCTACAAAAGCACAGCATGATCCTTTTCCTTCTGAGTTGACTATAGTTTCATGTTACAGTTTTGCAGAACAGGCTCACTTTGGAGGGTGCCTTGATATATTTAGCCTTCTGAGCCAATCCCCCAGATCTCTGTCACAGGGGCTCTCCCAAAACCATCATTACCAGTCACAGCTCTCCCTGAATCAAGTCAACTTTCAGCATCAGTTCTACATGATGGCCATCATCATTTTGTGACCACTAATGATATAATTTGCTAAGTGGGAGGAGAAGTAGGGATGGTACTGGTATTGCTAAAAAAAAAAAAAAAATGATCAAGGGTTTTGTAGATCACTAGAAGGAAATTAGGTAAGTCATAGTTGATGTTTAGGAAAAAGCAGCTATAGGACTTGAAGTAGTGAGTTCCATTCAGAGAAGCAACCACTAAGTCTTGGGTATGATTTCAGAAAACCAAGAAAAAAAAGGCAAATATTAAAGGCAGGTGAGAAACAGTGGAAGAAAGGTCAAGACCTTTCTTGAGGTCTTACAGTGAGCCTCCATGCAGTGAGGCTTCCATGAACATCTCCCATGACACCTGTCCAGCTGATTATTTTTGAAAAAGAAGATACATAAAAATGAACATGACAAAAAGAATACAAGATTTCCTGCTTTGGTAGAAGCTGTTTTTATATTATGGAAATGTAAAAATCATATCCCATATTATTTCTCCAGTGAGCCAAGCCCTGCACTGAATGACCAGAACACTCATACTCCAGCACCCAGACAGCAGAGGGGAGATGGCCCCTTCCCTGTGCGAACCAGCCCGCCCAGGCTGAACACTTACCTGGATCTTGCCTCAGTGGGGAATGATGGGTCACCAGCAGAGAGGCTTGACTGTCGAGGAGAGGAGTGGGACATGGTAGGCATTTGCTTTGGGGACCTTGGCACATCACTGAAGGAGCAGTCTCCTGCAGAGAGTGGGAAGGAAGACGAACTCTCCACCTTTGGGGGCGGATCCTGGGCTTGCTCGGGGGTGCTCCGCTCTCGATCTCGTCTTTGGTTCTCCACATTAAGCAGCACCTCTGTGTGGGAAACACCATCACTCCCGTGGAGGCCATAGTCTTGGATTCAGCCACATAGGTCCTGAACCCCATGATCTCAGTCCTAGGGTATGGAGAACTCGAATCTTTGCTTGACTCTTCCCATTTGTCACTTTTTCCTCCCCTTTTCTCTACTGCATCGGGATCTTTCCTGGACTTGGCATATCGAGCTGGAGATTCAGAGTCAGCTTCAGAATCCAGAGTGAGCCCATATTTTTCTGCCAGCTGCCGTCTCCTCTCTGCTTTGTACCTCGCAATCCTTTCAGCCTTGGATTCAAGCCCCTGGGTGTCCATGGTACCTGAACCACAGGATGAGTCACCATGGATGCCTGAAGTTTCTGTGCAATGCTTGGACTGAGTCTGCTTCTCTAAAGAAGAATCGGAAGTGTCTTCCTCTTCATTTGATCGGCTACAAGAAGATCACATGGATGTTGACACAGTAAAGACACATTCACTCTTCTCTGTCCTACACACAATGCACACTGAAGCACCCATCTTGGGAAGGACCAGTTTCTCACGTGGCCAGTGACCAAGGACTTACCTGAGGTGCTGAAGATCTGTGGTGAAATATACAAAGCATGAGTGTTCTACAGGTTCCCCAAGCTGAGAAAACCACAGCCTCAACTAAAGCTCAGTCCCTCACTCCTAGAGCTCCTCATTCTTGCTGCTCAGAGTTTATTTCCCCTATTTATTTTCTTTGCTTTTGAGTTTAATATTTCATGTGTGAGGTCAGAGGACTAGTTCAGAGCCTCTGGAAAAGATAAAAGATATCAAACTTCTGTAATTTGACAAGTGACAGATTGTGGTTTCAGGATCTGATAGTAACCATAACAATAAAGACCCATATCAATAATCACCAGGTTGTTTTTCCTTTTTACAGAAGTGACTTTTTTTAACTGAGCACTCATGCTTGATGTAGACTATCTCTAACAGGAAAACATGGGAGGTAAAAGCTCAAATCACCATAATCATTAACCTATATCAATGAAGTGTTAATATGCAAGCATTTCTGCATATTCCATCTTCTCTTTTATATAACTTTTTCTTTTTTTTTTACATGAAATAATTCTCCTTATAGTTATATAATGTTATATATTAATTAATGTATTATATGTAAAACATCTCCCTATATTTGGAAATTTTGAAGGCATCTTTTTTTTTAAGACTTACTAATATTCTATCCACCAGGAATTTCACAATTAACTTAACTCTTCTCATATTGATGGATATTTAAGTCTTTCCTAACTTTAAATCAGTCTGATTTTCTGATTACCACCACAACAGCAAAAAGTAAGTACCTTTACAAAGAACACATCATGTTAAGATACTGCTAGATTGTCAAATTAATTTTACACTCAAATTAAATTTACACTTAAATTTGCAATATGTGCTCTCCCTCACAGTTTTAATTTTAAGAAATTTCATTTTCTCATGACAAAAATGAGAGTAGATGTATTTAAATTATTTATTATCCATTTGCGTTACTATCCCTTCCTTCTCGGCAATACCTGGTCGTGTTTACTGTTCTATAGTCTACTTTTTCACGGTGTCATTTTTATTGGTTGGTGTCAACTTTTAAAGGAATATCCTTCCTTTTCTTATTCAAGAGTATTTTCAAACTCACTTGCCTAATTTTTATGCAATGTTTACATAAGATTTTCTTTGGAATACAGATGCTGGTATGCAGTCAAGTCAACTGAGGTGGTCATTTGTGATTTCTCCAGCTTTTTCTGGGCTTTGAGAGTCCTTTTCCATCTAACCTAAATGAAATAATCATCTATATTTTTATGTTTTATTATTTTTTTTTAAATCAATGATGTGATTAACTGGACCTTATTGTTGTGTTTGGTAGGAAGTGAGAAGAAGGAAACATCTTTTCCCTCAATCCACTGCTTTTCCATTTCCCCAAACCATTTTATCATGTAAATTTCTTTTTCTCACTAATGAGTAATGTTTAAATAATCATGAAGTATATCAGTTAACATTATAAATATATAACATATAACATTTTATTAATATTTATATATATTAATTTTATCAATATAAATTTTGGTACTTGTCTATTCTTGACTTTCCATGTGTGTAATTAAAAAAAATTAGTTCTTTAATGACAATAGAAGATCATAAAATGCAGAGATAAGAAAGTTGATTGCATCATGAAGTGATATCTACAGCCCACTATGGGGAAGAAACTAGAAAAACTGGCTATAAAAAGCAGCAAAGAGAGCCATAGGGGCAGGGACTGGGGTAGAAGAACCAGGCTTAAATGCGTCATCCTTCCCCATAGTCAAGGTGAATACTTGCTGCCCCTGACGATCAAGGAAAAGCTAAGTCACTTTTTTTTTTTTTAGCTAAGTCACTTTGGACATGTTTAATATGAAATAAATTTGTAATGAACTGAAAATTACATACATTAAAATAATTTAAGTAGGTGTTTATTACAAAAACCTACTCATTTTAGGTCTAGGTTTGCCCTTAGTGTTCCCTACTGAAAGCAGTTCTGCCTTGCGTTTGGCAACCGGGGTGTTCTATTTAAACCAATAATAAGAGGAACACCTCTGTTAAAAGAGAGACAGTGAGTCCCAAATGGTATCACTTGTGCTAAGGTTTATATGACCAAACTAAAACTTACTAAGTAACTTACGTTTTAACTTCTCCCAGAAATGTAACCTTTAACTGGATAATCTGGAATTACTTGATAGGAAATAATAAGGTAATCTGTCTGATAGACCCCTTTTATTCCATCGGAAGGTGACTTTGCCTGAAGTAATCCTCTTCTTTGCTTTCTCTGCCGCCTTTCTGTCTATAAAATCCCTCCACTTTAGATAGCTCTTCAAAGCTCCTTCCTCCTTGTTCGATGGGATGCTGCCCAATTCTTGAATTGTTAGAAAACTGATTCAATCTTTAAATTTACATGGTTAAAAAAACAGCAAATAAGAGACTCTGAAATGTTTTCAGGCAGTAGGATATTATATATAGAAATCCTGAAGAATCCACCAAAAAGTTATTACAAACAACAGAGGAATTCAGCAAAGTGGCAGATTACAAAATCAACATACAAAAATCTAAGTCTTTTTACACATAAACAAGAAACAAAAGAAATTAAGAATAATTCCACTTATAATGAGGCATAAAAACATACAATTCAATGATAAAAAAGTAATTAACTCAATTAGTAAATGGGCAGAAGACATGAACAGACAATTCACCGAAGGACCCTGTTACAAAACTATTGGTGGGAGCGTAAACCAGTGCAACCTTATGAAAGCCATCTGGATTTACTTTAAGAATCCAAAAATGGAAACACCATACTACCCACCATTCCCATTCTTGGGCAGACCTCCAAAGAATATGAAGCCATGGATGTCTTCATATTTTGTCGAACAAAACCCCACGTGTTCCACAATGTTCATAGCATTAATCACAACAGCCTGCACATGAAAGCTGCCTAATGTCTACTGATGGACAACTGGATCAAGAAGATGTGGTATAGCCACACCATGGAGCACCATACAGCCATAAAAAAGGTGAAATGCGGCCATTCTTGACAAAATGGAGGTAGTTTGAGAAAATTGCATGTAGTAAAGCAAGGCAGCACAATAAAAACAAATACTGGACAAATGCATAGCAGACAATTTGAAAACACAAAACACTTCCAAAAATCAGCGGACATCAACAAATACTATTGAAGACTCTGAGGTTAAAAAGGATGGTCAAGGGAAATGGGCGAGGGTATATAGGGAAAGTGGTGGGAAAAAATTACAGATGACTACTGAAAATAGCAAAAACTTCTGTGCTTGGATAAAAGTATTAGTGGAAGGTCCATGTAAACATAAATAAATCAATAAATTTACCTGGTTGAGCTGTTTTTAAACGTGTCTTATTTAGTCCCTTTAGCAAACAAAACCTCTACTAAGAATCTCTGTTGAAGAGGAAGTCACAATTCCTGCCACACTTGAGGTCCCAGGCTAAGGGGGAAAATGACTGGTTATGAATTACCCAGCAGTGTGCCAAGGGGAGTCATCTTTTACTGCCTTGATACCAGAGGAACAGTCTGGCATGAGGAAGGCAGAACTGACATATGTGTTGAGGGTTTTAACGAATACATGTATTTATTAAATAATTTTACCTACATAATTCATTTTTGTGGAATATATTGTTTTCCAGTACGACCAGGCAGAAGCCCTCCAGGAGCCTGCCTGAATAGGGGCGGGTGGGCACCCTTGCTCACCAATGTGGGGGCTGGCTGGGTCCGTGGCTCGCATGTATCTGGGAGTGTCTTCTTCCAGCAGGCGATGAGTGACTAACCCTGTGCAGCTCTGCAAGAGGATAGGTTGGGCATCACTTTCAATTCCTTCCAAGCGCCTGGCAATTCTTTCTTTTCTGTGCAAGACACCAAAAAAGGCATAGTGAGCAGTAGGAATCAATCCTAAGAGAAAACTGAATACTGCTTTGCCAAGCTCTTCTACTTCTTAATTATTTATAATAAATATCTTACCTTTTCATTTCTAAAAATTCTTTTCTCTTTGGCTCAAAGATTTTTCTTAATTCTGCAACTAAAGCAAATAAAATATATAAAAATATAGTCCAGTATTTAGTAGTCATCATTTATTTAATTCACTCATGCAAAATTTATCCATCCAGCCATCTATATTTTTTTGAACTCATATTTTTGTTCTTAGATCCCACACAAGTGATACAAAAAACTAACAAAGTTCAGGCTTCCCTAGAGATTGTCTTCCAGTAGGGGAGGCAGATTGCTAAATGAATAAGTATAAACCTCCATCCTCACTCCCACACGCACACATCGCAGGTCAAGCTAAGAAGTAAAACCATGAAGGTAAAGAGACAGAGTGACAGGAGTGAGTTTTATTTCATCCACAGAAGTCAGAGGTGGCCTATCTCATTTATTTTTAAGTTTTATTAGGTTTAACAAAGTATTTTAAGCTTTTCAATATGGAAAACTACAAACATCTGCAAAAGTAAATACCAGTCCCTATGAACCCCACATGCCCAGCAGCAAGCCACAAAATCATAAACTCACACCACTTGTCTATTTCATGCTGTCATTTACCTGTAAGTATGTGCAACTACCTGGTTGTTTCCAGTTGTACCTAACGCAGCATATCTTGGTTAAATACAATTTAGATTAATAAAGTTCCTAAGTCTTCCCTTACAGCCTTTAACTGGGAGGAAATGCTAATAGTCGCCTTGCAATAACTGAAGCGGATGATGGATATAGTAATAACCCTAACTTTTCTGGCAATGATGGTTGATCAGATAAATATTTTGCTGACATTTGGGTCTCATGTGATACTGACCAGAAGAATATTATGAAGATGCCAAACAACTGTTGTTGGGGAAAATGGAAAAATTTGGTGGAGAATAAAAGTCCCCTCTTCTTGCTTCCTCCTCAGTAAATGAATTCATAAGGGTTCATTTGAGTTCCTCCTTTTGAGGACCCCGGAAAGGGTGGGAGAGGGAAGGGAGCTGCCGATAGTCCCATCCCAAAGAAGAGGGTATGAATACATGAAATTCAATTTTCAGCTGCTTCAACATCCATTTTTATTCTTTTAAAAAGTGAACACACTTAGTAATAAGGCAAAACCACACACACACAAACACACACACATTTATATTGTCTTTTAATTGTGTTCAAAGACAGGAGTCATGTTTTATTTTAAAATGATGGCTACCTTAAAATTTTAGTTGGATTGACTTTTGTTAACAAGAGTTGGCCTCAAAAAAGTCTTTCCCAATTGGCCTCCAAGGATCCAAAGCAGCTGGAGGCAGAGGTGTGTTTGCTCTGCAATGTTAACCAAGTTCCTATTTAGAAGTCAAGGACACAATAATAAAGGTGCATCCTGTTCTGCCTTTTGAAGAAGTCTGTCTAATAATAGCTTAACAATAAGCTTTAGTGAGATTATAGTGATAAAACTTTAATGGGAGATTGTGTATTTTGAAAATATTTTCAAGAATAATAAAAACCAAAGAGTATCAATTTATTTAAACACCATGCAGGAGAAAGGAGCTGTAATTTTTATAGGCCTGTTGAAAAAGCTAATGAAACCACATTCCAAGAATACTCTGAAAGGTAAGTCTTAAACCAGTGCCTCAATCCCTTAACTGAGAAACAGAGTGTATTTATTAATAGGGCGCTGAGTAAAATGGCACCTTTTCGCCTCCAAAAGCTTTTGCTTTTTTTCCTCCAAAATAATTTCAACTAGGTTTGCTATGGTCTGAATGTGCCTTCTCCCTAAAATTCATATGGTGAAATCCTAGCCCCTAAGATGATAGTACTAGAAGGTGGGGAGCTTTGGGAAGTGATTAGGCTTTGCTCTCATAGTTGGGATTAGTGAGTGACCTTATATAAAAAAAAGGGCTCCTTGACCCCTTCCCTCATGTGAGAGTAGGAGGAGAATTTGGCCATCTGCAGCTGCAAAGAGGATCCTCACCAGGACCTGACCAAGCTGGCACAGCACTACAGCTATGAGCAATCCACTTTTGCTATTTATAGGCTGCCCAGTCTCTGGTATTTTTCTATAGTAATCCAGATGGACTAAAACAGAATAAATATAAAAATATGAATGTGATACACACGGAGCAGCATATTACCTCCATTGGGAAAATTTAAGATATGCTTTTGGTTCTAACTTGAGACTGAAATCTATTCATTTCATTAAATTTTCAAATTTTTTGTATAAATTATGCAACTAAAGACATCTTTAAAAATTCCAGCAGTTGAGCTCTCCTGCCCGCCTGTGACTATGCAGGAGTTTGTTTTCACAATCCTTTTTTCCCTTTGCAAAGAGAGCAGCAGTGACAGCTCAGCTGCCCACCCCTGCAGGTGCCTCTCTTTTTTTCATTCTCCTTTTCCAAAGAAAGCTGTCCTTTTAAAATGGGGGAGGGGTTTCCAGCAGTGCAATGACAAAGCTAAGCAATAAGTTGCTTTCTTACATGCTGTATTTCCCAACTTCTCAAAGGAAGTGTCAACTAGGAAACTATGCAAACACTCTACCCACAACAAACTGTACATTCCCTAGTGCCATTACCACTCTGCTTCAACAGTCTGCAAAGATTGGTAATATGAGCAGGCTGACAGTCAGCATAGAGCTCATCATAAAAATTGAACCCCAAGAAGCCTGGGCAGTGAGAGAAAAGAGCAAGGACAAGTCAAGTTATCCTGCTGTCCTTGGAGACCTCTCTTTCTTGACAAAACAAGTTGGGCAACCCACCGTGAATATGTCATCTAACAGCCATTCACTGCTGGCGATTAGAAGTCTCAGGGCAGCGATCAGACATACAAGGAGTACCTCATCGGGGTCAGACTCAGAATGTTGGTTCTGGTATAGATCAAGTTCACCCTGGGGGTGCTGATGGCCTTTGAGTGGGAAATTGTTTTGTTGTGCACTCTGCACAACAGGATGCTGGGTGGCCCTGCCTCTCATACTAGTTGCCAAATACCCCAGTTGCTATGACACAAAACTGTTCCCATATATTTCCAAAGCCTTCTTTGGGATGGTACTGTGATAGAATGAGAACCACTGATCCCATAGAAAGGTTTCAAATAGGCAGCCTGCCTGCTAGATAGTCACACGAAGGTTATTCCAGTGACAGGCATAGTGGTCCATCACCACACTCTTTTTAAGCCTAGATTCAAACTTATACTATTTTAAGTCTATAACCTCACAGTCTTTAGCACTATCTAATGTATAATCTCTATACAGGTAATCTTTCGATTATGTGTTCATGATCCACAGTTAATGGAAGTCCCTTTGGGGAAAAAACATAGATCATTTAAGCATTCAATTTCCCAGAAGCAAGAATCACTCACTAAATGAACAGAAACTTCCATAAATTTGAAAACAAACAAAACTCTAAGCTATTAAAATGTATAATCAGTTACTGCCTTTAACATTATGTTGCCAAAACTTGATAATACCATTAATCTGTCTGTTAAGACGAAAAATGAGAAGATTGCTGGTAATACAGGGTCTTGCCAAACACATGTGCCCAAATTCACAAAGGGCAAAACAAAGTCTATGATATGAGACTAGGGGAATTTATTTTTTTCCACCACCATCCCTCTACATCCTGCTCTTCTCCTTCAGTCTCCCTTTTAACCTCCGACCCTTCCCAGTGTTTGTTGATATCCACTGGTTTTTGGAAGTGTTCTGTCTGCTATGTAAATGTCCGGTAATTGTTTTTATTGTTTTGACTTGCCTACTACACAATTTTCTCACACACCCTCCATTTTGTCAAATGTATCAAGAAGTTGTGGTATATTTATGCAATGGAGTACTACTCAGCCATCAAAAAAGACAAACTCATGCCATTTGTGGCAATATGGATGGAGCTGGAAGGGATCATGCTAGCTAAAATTAGTCAGAAGGATAAAGATAAATATTGGATGGTCTTACTTATATGTGGAATATAGAGAAACCAAACAAAAAGTCAAGAAAAAAGTCAAAACTACCAAGCTGACCATAGAACTGAGGCACACAGCAAAGAAGGGATGGGAGGGAGGCCAAATAGGGAGGGATGAACACAAGGGAATATGGTGATGGCTCATGGGTGATATACTGCATGTGCATCTGTACCAATGAAAACACTAAGTCATTGAACATGTGAACACCTACTTGTAGAAGGAGAGAGGATTAAGGTATAGTCTGCACCTGGTATGTATCAGCCAGCAGGGAGCAACCCGCTGTTTAAGTGTAAATGCCATAACATTGGGAAGTGTCAAGAGGCTGGAAGGAGTGGGAGTGGTTGATTACGAGTAGCATTCACTGATCTTGGAAAGGTAAAGGGTAGGAGAGAAATGGGGTTGGGTTGATTCTATCATCCATCTCTCATTCCCCCAATCAGCCTTAAGAAAAAACTTAACAATTCCTAAAATGAAAAGGAAAGATCATGCAAAAAGGTGAGGATAAAAAAATGCAAGAGGGGTACTTTCATTAAGGTCAATTATTGTTTTAGATAATGAGTACTCACAAAGAAGCGTGCAAGCTGGAGGTTAGTGCGAGAGTTTTCCTCAAAGAAAATCAGATTATTACAATACTATATGCCCAGGACACTGGTTAAGCATTTAGAAAAATTCTTACCTTTAGGAAGTACAATTAAGAGCTTAGTATCAACTCCTCTTCTGTGGTTAGTAAGTTGCTCTTTATCTTCAAGCAAGAAATCTTTCTGAAAGCTGAAAATTATTTCATTAATAAAATATTTCAAGTTGATTTAAATGCAGGTAAATGATAAGTGAAAAAAATGCAAACATAAACTTTATGTTATTTTTATAAATAATGACATTTGTGCATGTAGGTTACAAGTAAAAAGGTTTTTTTAGGGAGTTAATTTATTTATATTTATGCTAATATGATACTTTTGTGTCACTAAGTAATCATTATCAGCACAGGCTGGTGGCATGGTATAGGGTGCTGAAACATTCCTGAACTCAGGTCTTGGTCAAAATGACAACCTTCATTTTGATTTTTAGAGCCATCGATTTTTGCTTTGTCTAAGCTGGGATCAATCACTCAACCTTTCTGTGCTTGAATTTCTTCCTCTCAGAAAACCAGCAACTTGTCTAGGTGATCAACATGCTTTCTTCCAGTGTTAAAAAATCATAATAAAGTAACAAATGCTCTCAAACAACCAAGAAATCAAAGCTTGGCGAACAGGTCTGAAAGAATCATAAAAACTTGTCTTGGGAAAAAAGAGGAAATGAAAGGGGAAGAATAAAGGAACAGAGCACCTATATAGACTTTTCTTATTGACTCAGCATATTCCAGGTATTATTATCTTAATTATCTTCACAAGATCCCATGAGGTATAAACTGAATAGTGATGTGGTGGCAGACATTTAACAACTGGCTCCTTTTTCTTGCTCACTTCTCTCCCAGACAAAGTGCCTGCCTTGCAGTATTAGCTCTCAGTATGGTAAATTTCAAGGTACCCACAGGGGCTCATTGAGCTCAAAGTTGAAGAGAAAAGCATACTTGCTAGGATGAGGTGGCAGGTGTGTGCCGGTTCTAGCACACCACTGAAGCTACTAACATCCTAATTTTACAGATTAGGAAACTGTGAGATGATTTGCCCAAGGACACATATTTGGCAACAAGAGTACACAAGGTACAAACTAGCTCCTGCTCTAACACTATGCACAGTTGTCCCAAGTGTGTTGTACCCACATCTCCAAGGTCTTCCCTGGGAATGTGCCAGCAGCTTGGTAAGACAGTGAGCTGCTACCTTGGAAAAAAAAACCCAAACCTAAGAAATCAGGGAACTAATATTCCCCAAAGGCAGAATCACCTCCAGCAAGGTGAACAATGGGCTGAAGAATGTACCCCATATAAAGCTGACCTTCCCCATGAATAAGTATCTTTACTCTGCAAGGGTACATTTCCAGAGGCTGAGAAAATGACTGCAGAAAGTATGCACGTGACATGTAAAATCTAAGTGCAATACACCAATAATCCTACCTTCCTAGAACCAAGCTCATCAGAAATCTTAATTATTGCTTATAAATGTAGTATGGTTTATTTCCATAAACATGAGTTCCATATTTTAGTATTATTTAGTAAAATGTCTTTAGAAAAAGAAGTCTTTATAAACCACACTCCAGATGTCTCAAGATCCTGGGACACCGACTTAGGTCAGAAACTCAGTGATAGCACTAACTTCTAACTAGTGAATGACAGTGCAGTGACTAGTCTTTTCAGCGTTTTATTTAGATACATCATGACGAATAAATTTCTGCTAAGGAATGCTATTTTAATTTTATTGATTGATCAATTGCTATTTAAACATTTGATAAGTTTTGTACTTTCTTTGAAAAACTCCAGAAAAAGATTATATTAAAATGAAATGATGCAATCCTTGAAATATTCAGCTTCCCAGGCTGACCGTTATGTATAAATTATTATGTTTTAAAAAATATACATCTGTAGGTTTTTACTCCCCCTTTGTTATGCTTACCAGTAAGCTCAATGAAACTACTAATAAAGACAAAGACATTCTCTCTTAAACATTTTGCTGAATTTTACATAGTGGGGTTCACAAATCATCACTGGACACCTGCTATTTCAAATGCACTTACTTTCTTGAAAAAGCTACAAATAGTGTCACACCAATATACAGTACAGCCTACGTAAGGTTGGTTAGAAACCAAGGGAAAACCAAAATGCTGTCAGAAAAATCTCATGTTTAACAGGGCTTACTGAAAATACTATTCCCTTGCCCTGAATTCTCTCCTTTCCACACTTTTTCCATCCTGACTGAGTCTTGCTCCTGATCTGGTCCTCAGTTTCATGGTCATTTTCTCCAGGAAGAATCCCCTGACCACTGTATTTCCTACCTGGCACCAAATCTGTAACATACAGTATTTCCTTTACGGTACTGTTTTTCTGTCTGCACATATTCAAGTGTTTTATTAAAAGCATTGATTTTTTTTTTTTTTAATTTTTTTTTTACCATTTCTTTTTTTTTTTTTTTAATAATAAATTTTATTTTTATATTCCACATACAATTGCAGCCCCCCCATTCTGACCCCAATCCCTCCCCTCCCGCCCCTCACCCCCCAAAAGTGTCTCTGGTTCATAGTTTTTTGTTGATTTTGATTTTCACTTTCTTATAGTTATTCATTTTCCTGGTCCCTTATTTAAGTTTTCTAGATTCCTGCTATGAGTGAGACCATCCGGTATTTTTCTTTTTCTTTTTGGCTTATTTCGCTGAGCATGATCCCTTCCAGCGCCATCCATGTTGCTGCAAATTGCATGTGTTTATCTTTTTTGAATGCTGAGTAATATTCCATGGTATATATGTACCACATCTTCTTGATCCAGTCATCGATTTTTGGGCATTTGGGTTGTTTCCAAAGCTTAGCTATTGTAGACAGTGCTGCTATAAACATAGGGGTGCAGGTGTTCTTTGGAATTGATGTTTCTGTGTCCTTTGGGTAAATACCTAGGAGTGGAATTGCTGGATCATATGGAAGCTCTATGTTTAGTAGGTTCAGAAATCTCCACACAGCTTTCCACAGTGGTTGGACCAGTTTGCACTCCCACCAACAGTGCAGAAGAGTTCCTTTTTCTCCACACCCTCGCCAACATTTGTTGTTGCTAGTTTTTTTAATATGTGCCATTCTCACTGGTGTAAGATGGTATCTCATGGTAGTTTTGATTTGCATTTCCCTGATGACAAGTGATGTTGAACATTTTTTCATATGCCTGTTGGCCATTTGCATTTCCTCTTCAGAGAAGTTTCTTTTTAGCTCTTCTGCCCATTTTTTGACTGGATTATTTTCTTTGTTGTTGTTGAGTCTCATCAGCTCTTTGCAGATTTTTGTGATCAGTCCTTTATCATTAGTGTTGGGTGCAAAAATGTTCTCCCAGTTGGTGGGGTTTCTCTTTGTTTTTGTTATTGTCTCTTTTGCTGTGCAGAAGCTCTTTAATTTGATGTAGTCCCAGCTGTTTATCTTCGCCTTCACTATCACTGCTTTGGGTGATGTGTCTGTAAAGATGTCTTTGATGTGCAAATCACGTAGTGTTTCGCCCACATTTCCTTCTATGTATTTTATGGTTTCAGGTCTTATGTCTAATTCTTTAATCCATTTTGAGTTGATTTTTGTGTATGGTGTGAGGTAGTGGTCAAGCTTCATTCTTTTGCATGTAGCGACCCAGTTTTCCCAGCACCATTTATTGAACAAACTTTCTTTGCTCCAATGCATAGTCTTTGCTCCTTTGTCGAAGATTAGTTGACCATAAATCTGTGGGTTTATCTCTGGATTTTCTATTCGATTCCATTGGTCTGTATGTCTGTTCTTGTTCCAATACCATGCAGTTTTGATGATTATGGCTTTGTAGTATAGTTTGAAGTCTGGGAGTGTGATGCCTCCATTCCCTTCTTTTTTTTTCAGGAGAGCTTTGGCTATTCGGGGTTTTTTGTGATTCCATATGAATTTCATCAATAATTGTTCTATTTCTTTGAAGAATGACATTGAAATTTTGATTGGAATAGCATTGAATCTGTATATTGCTTTTGGAAGGATGGCCATTTTAATAATGTTTATTCTTCCAATCCATGAGCAGGGGATATCTCTCCATTTCTTTGTGTCTTCTTCTATTTCTTTTAACAGTGTTTTATAGTTTTCTTTGCATAGGTCCTTTACCTCTTTTGTTAGATTTATTCCCAAATATATGATTTTTTTTGTTTCAATAACGAAAGGGATGGTTTTTTTGATTTCTTCTTCTTCAGATTTATTGTTTGTGTATAGGAAGGCTACTGACTTTTGCGTGTTGATTTTATATCCTGCCACTTTACTGAACTGATTGATGAGTTGAATTAGCTTTTCTGTGGAGTTTTTGGGGTTCTCTATGTATAATATCATATCGTCTGCAAATAGTGATAGTTTGACTTCTTCTTTTCCTATTTGGATTCCTTGGATGTCTTTCTCTTGTCTTATTGCCCTGGCTAGGACTTCCAGTATTATATTGAAAAGCAGTGGTGAGAGTGGACATCCTTGTCTTGTTCCAGATCTTAATGGAATTGCTTTCAGCTTTTCACCATTGAGAATGATACTGGCTGTTGGCTTGTCATAGATTGCCTTTATGATGTTAAGGTATGTTCCTTGTATCCCAAGAATTTCCAGGGCTTTTATCATGAATGGGTGTTGCACTTTGTCGAAAGCTTTCTCAGCATCTATTGATATTATCATATGGTTTTTATATTTCTTTCTGTTGATGTGTTGGATAACGTTGATTGATTTTCGGATGTTAAACCATCCTTGTGTCCCTGGAATGAATCCTACTTGGTCGTGGTGAATTATCTTATGGATACATTGTTGGATTCTGATGGCTAAAATTTTATTGAGGATTTTTGCATCAGTGTTCATTAGGGAGATTGGCCTGTAGTTTTCCTTTTTTGTGTTGTCCTTGTTCGGTTTTGGTATTAGTGTAATGTTGGCTTCATAGAACGTGTTTGGTATTGTCCCTTCCTTCTCAATTTTTTGGAAGAGTTTGTGAAGGATAGGCACTAATTCGTCTCTGAATGTTTGGTAGAATTCATTTGTAAATCCATCAGGTCCTGGGCTTTTGTTTTTGGGGAGGTTTTTGATTACCATTTCAATTTCGCTAATTGTAATTGGTCTGTTTAGGTGTTCTATTTCTTCTTTATCTAGCTTTGGGTGATTGTAGAGTTGTA